ATATTATATTCTTACTATCAAATCTATTTGTTCATTTCTTCTTAGACAATGATCATAATTTATCTAAACCAAAAAAATTAATGATTCATTTAAATGATAATCAATTAATTACAAATAATAAAGAAGATCTAGATCGTGGTAAACGAACATGGGAAGGTGTAAAATATTCTGAACTTATTCTACAAACAAATAATCATTTAGAATCAATGATCAATTTAACAAAATTCAATATAAACAAAACATTCAAACATGATAAACAATCCATATTAAAAATTTCACATAATAATTTAACAGAATTACATAATACTAATCTAGATGATAATTATTGTATTGTTAGTGCTAAAACTACAAAAGCTCATATGTCCACATTAAAATATCGTGATATTGCTGTTGGGGTAAGTATTATCACTGGTGTACACCTTGTGCCCCCCCACCCTTATCAATATCTATGTATATATATATATATATATATATATATATATATATATATATATATATATATATATATATATATATATATAGTATTAGTGATCCCCACCCCGAGGCAGCGTGAAATGATATCCGAAAAGCTGTGGAAGCAGCGGTGATGTCTGCTAATAAGGTAAAGCATAAGGTTAGGGAGAAACATTGGATCTCAGTAGCATCTACCGCATTGATAGATGCTCGAAAACTCATTCCATCTGGCTCTGAACATAACAAAGAGCAGAGTCAGCTTAAGCGCAAGTTGATAAGAAGTCTACGCAATGATCGTGAACAGTGGTAGGTAGCGAAAATAAGAGAGATGGAAAAGGCAGCGGTAATAGATAATAGCAGACAACTGTTCAAACTAGTTAAGGAAACCGGTATTCGGAATTTGACTGTTAGCGAAACTATCTCGGAAAAAGATGGAGATATTAATCATTCTCAATCCAGAAGATTGGATCGATGGGCAGAACATTTTAGGGATCAGTTCAACTGGCTTTCAACCACACTTTGATTTCCCATGATCTGAATGGCAAGTTGATGTAAGTCCTCCAACTCATTAAGAAGTTGGAAAAGCTATAGTAAATATGAAGCGCGGGAGAGCAGCAGGCCCTGACAGGTTTAGCCCTGAGATTTTTAAGCATGGCAGTCCAGTATTAGCAGCGAGATTGACTGAGGTCTTAGGTAGAATCTGGGAACTGGACGTAATCCCATCTGACTGGTCACAGAAAGGCCAAAAGTCCTTTTGTGACAATCAAAGAGAAATCAGTTTGACTAATATAATGTCTAAAATATTAGCTTCAATAATACTTCAACGTACGTACAAAACTTTACGTTGTTGATGACTGACTGATATGTATAGTACTAATCCAGAAATGGATTCATTATGCTCGTCGAGATGTAACAACTTCCACCATACAATACATGTATACTAATACACTTAAATGATAGAATAATCTTTCTTATTCAGTTTTCACTTATAGAAGAAAAAAAACTAGGCTAGAGACCACCTATTCTTGTTACCAAGTGTTTATAGCTCTAATCTCCAAATAGAACACAAATATACATACATATAGATAGATGTATATGGATGTGCAAAAGAAGTATGGAAGATTGTATAGGTGCTTTACTTGTTCAGACCACATAGTAAGAAAAATAAGACAAAATTAAACTGGATTGAAATAAAATGTATAATGGATATTTAAATGACTCTAAGCTTTCAAATGTCTTGGTACGGCCGAGGTTGAGAAGAGTCAGCTCTACCTTTCAAAACGCTCTCACATGGCCACGTGCATACAATCACTACCAGGAAAATCCTATACAATGCCTTCTCGAACCACAGGTGTTGTTTACGAAATTGAGAGGTGAAAAGGCGAATATCTGGTACTTTAACAGGGTTTTTGAGTACGGAGAATCCACTTAGGGCAGTTAGGAAAGCGTCATGATAAACCAATAATGCACCGGGATGACAAGTGTTACTAATTGAATGCTTTAATTTGGTTCCTAAGCTATTCTCGTAACCCCCAAGCTAAAACTATACAGCGAACTGAACACAAGAGAAAAGGCGCAAAATATGAGAGAAGCACTTTACTCAAAAGATTCGTTTTAGTACAGAAAATATAGGGTATTTTAGATGTCCCTGGGTTTCCCGAAAATCCTGGAATGCTACTAAACAGAGTAGCAGCATAGTAATCAGCCAATCAGAAACTCTACATGTGACTTTTCACTTTCTTAATGTTTCTGGTTAAATTTCTACCGAACGCTGATGAGATAAAATGCTTATTAGTGTTTTCTGAGCCTTTCTTGGTTTTTGAGAGCTTTTGAAGACCACCCAAACAATGGGCTCCAAGATCCTGAGGGAATAAATGGCATATGAACCTATTGTTGGTCACCGACTACCGTAGGATTGTATCTCCTAGAGTTGCCTCACTACCTTATGGATCAGATCTCTAGATCAAAAGTTCTAGGAGTAGTAGCCTAAGAAGACGACAACCTGCTTCAGAGTTTTGATACCCGAGAAGTATCCCAGCAATCGCACAAATCAAATGAGATTTGTGTGGTGCATATATATGTGTGGTACCTGATGATTATTTACTATTTATTTATTTAAACACATAAATATCGGTACAAGAGGGCTCCAAATACATATGCGCCACACAAATCTCATTTGATATATGTGAGGGTTGTGATACTGACTGGGTGCCCAGACCGAACCACGTGGTTTTCTCAGGGGGCCACACCCCCAGCCTTTGACCTATAGGTCTGACCCACAAGGCAGTGGAGCATCGTAAGAAGATGTAGTCCCATGGTAGCCGATGACCAACGATTGGTTCATACGCCATTTGTTTCTTCAGGACACTGGAGCCCATGTATACCATTGGTTTTGGATCCGGTTAAAGCGCCGGACAATTGCTTGTTGTCCTCTCATTTTCGTAAACAACACCCGTGTTGCGAGAAGGCAGTGAGTAGAACTTCCCTGGCAGAGGTTATATACGCGTGGCCATGTGAGAGTATTTCGAGAGAGAGGGTGGGCCTATCCCACTGTCGGTCATACCAGGGCATTTGGGGGCATTGAGTTGTTGTTGTTGTTTAATTTTTTCTTTAATAGTTTGTTATCATATAAATGAACTCCATGTAAAGATTTCTCACCGTTTTTTTTTTGTTTTTGTCTTTTCTCTATTTCATTGATGATGATATAATATACATATATACATATAGGAGTTTCGTTTATTTACTCAAAATTTATTAGAATTTATAGAAATGGAATATATAAATGCTATAAAAGATAATGATCAACATAAACAACAATGGATAGAAAGTATAAATCTTTTAATAAAACTTAATTGAATTATATAAAAATAGGGATTATTCATTGTATATTACATTATATATATATATAGACAGAGAGAGATAATAAGTATACATTCTATTTGAAAACTTCTTTTTTTTCTTATAAAGAGATAAAGTTAAAAGGGGATAACTTACAAGATAGTTTGATTCTGTACTGGTTATATTCTCCAGTTCGATACAACTATAATGATACAATCAGTCAGTTACCAAGTAGGATCAGGCACATACATATATGCATCGGTCCAAGTGTGCCATACCACATCAGCACAACAAGATGAAAATCGGATTGATAAAAGTAGTTCATTCAATGGTGGTAATATATAAAGGAAAGATCGCATATAAGGAATAGTTCATAGAAAGAAAGATATGAAGCGATTTTAATCTCACGGTTTAAGGGAAGACAAAGAATACATACACCTATGCCTACACCTACTATAATATACATATATGGTACGGCCGAGAGTCCGCTCTCGCTCTAAAATGTTCTCATACAGCCACGTGCATACAACCACTCCAAGGGAAGTCCTACTCTTATTTATTTCTTTTAACACATAGATATTGGTACAAGGAGGCACCAAATACATATGCGCTACACAGATCTCATTTGATATGTGTGAGGTCTGTGATACTGTCCTACTCACTGCCTTCTCGAGTCACGGGTGTTGTTTACGAAAAGTGAATATCCGGCGTTTTAACCGGGTTGGTGGATACGGAGAGTCCACCCACGGGAGTTGGAAAACCCTCATTTCAAACAAATGGTGAACATGGGTTACACGATCCTAAGTGAATAAATGGCATATGAACCAATTGTTGGTCACCGGCTACCATGCGACTTCATCTCCTGACGTTGCTCCACTGCCTTGTGGATTAAACCTTTAGGTTAAAGGCTCTGCGTGTGGCCCCCTAAGAAAACCACCTGTTTCGTTTTTGGGAACCCAGACAAAATCCCAGCCCTCATACAAATCAGATGATTTCTGTGATACATGTATATTTGGTACTTCCTTGTACCAATGTTTATATGTTTAAATAAAATAAAAACACTTATTACGGTTTGTACCAAATCCACTATACAAATGAAAAGACTGAAATGAATAGAAAAATTTAATCAGCGAAGTAAATTGTAATGTAAGTAAATCATAGCATATATACATTCTATGAATCGTACAAATTACGGATACTCAGCGACTGTGTTCAATCATCAATATCCCCGAAGAATTGATCATAGTTACCGGTGTTACCATAAAAAGAATGCCGAGATCTGACAATATGTGTTCGAGGATCTTGAAAAGCCATAAACACCTTATGCTAATTATTTGTTGTTTAACATAGTTTCAAAATTTAAAAAAAAAGAAAAAAGAACAATTAAACCGAACACTTTCAAGACGTTTATTTCACAAACACATAAAGTCAGTACATTATATTGATTGGTCAGTTAATAAGTTAAAATTACAAGAGATAGGCAATAAAAGAAGCCTTCATATACATACACTAGATATATACAGTAGTATCACATACCTACATACCTACCTACATACAACATACACACACACACAATTAGTTCCAAACTAGACAATATGATAAACATAAATTCGACTAAGGATAAATCGTTGAAGAAGAGATAAAACAAGATAGATTGTCATAAGTTATTCAACATTGTAAAATATAGTCAAAATCACAGATAAAGAACTTTATAATCTACGTCTTTCAACTTTCTGAGCTTTTTTGTTTGCTATCTGACGACGTTGTTCCATTTTTTCTAATTGATGTTTACGTTGTTCAAGATTCTCTTGACGTTGTTTAGCAGCATTTAAAGAAGCTGTTTTTCGAAAATTCACTTCATTTTCTATAATACGTTCACGATTACGTCCACCTTCAGGTAGAATAATATCTTATTTGAGAAAGTATAAAACAGAAAACAACATATGTTAAGGTTATGAACACATCAAACCCGATATAATCAATAAAGTGTGTAATTAGAAGAAAAAAAAAGCATTTTCGAAGCACATGAAAACCGGGGATCATTCGAAAAACGTTTCATTCAATTTTATGGCTTAACAATCAGAAACCTACAAATGACAGAATCCAGAACCTAAGAGCTTCATGAAAAATGAACCTATAGTCTAACGATACCTAGAATAAGTTTATCGTCTCATATGGGACCCATTTGGATGTGTTTACGCTTCAGTATTGACGTTCATATTTATAAGCGGACCCAGTATTTATCGATACAAAAGACAATGTCTTGTCGAGGCATTTGCTTAGGACACACATATCCCAACAACAAAAAAAAAAAGAATTCGGCCTTAAACGTCAACAACGAGATAACTCACGTAAAAAAACTACACTCGTGAAGCAATTCAGTAGCAATACAGATTCAGTAGTTCAGTGGACAGTATGTTGGTATTAAAAATGAAAGATATTAGGCTTAGCTTGAGTCTCTGTATGAAAATCAACTCTGGAATGCAAATGCTTCCGTCCGACGAGTTCCAAATACAACGAAATCTGCATTTTAAATTATGCTGTTACCTACAATCCAAATATACTATAACTGTGTGGTACAATGACTTAAGCATTGAGTTTCACTCATTAAGGGGTCACAGATCAAAACTTACGGCACTCTTGTTACTCTGTAAGGCCCGTCCATATATCTAGTGCTTGTATAACTTCGTCTGGGAGATATGATCTTGATAGTAACTTTTACTGAAAAACTGCTTAGACAGTTACTTTTAACAAAGTTAACAAAATGACTAGGCAAATCACATACATGTGTATACATATACCCATATTTTAAGAGTTTACTTTACAAGTCAATCAAGAGCATTGGATATAGCTGACCAAACTGAAGAAGTGGAATGGTATTCGTAATTGTTGAGACACAATAATAGAAATTTAAATATGACAACCATTGAGTTAAAGAAGATATCAGATTGCCCCCGAATGCCCTGGTACGGCCGAGAGTGGAAAGAGTCCGCTCTCCATCTCGAAATACTCTCACATGGCCACGTATATATAGCCTCTGTCAGGGAAGTCCTACTCACTGACTTCTCGCAACACGGGTGTTGTTTACGAAATTGAGAGGACAACAAGCAAATGTCCGGCGCTTTAACCGGATCCCAACCCAATGGTGTACATGGGCTCCAGTATCCTGAAGGAACAAATGGCGTATGAACCAATCGTTGGTCACCGGCTGGCTACCATGGGACTGCATCTCCTCACGATGCTCCACTGACTTGTGGGTCAGACGTTTAGGTCGAAGGCTCGGGTTGTGGCCCCCCTAAGAAAACCATCTGCTTCGGTTTGGGCACCCGGTCAGTATCACAACCCTCACACATATCAAATGAGATCTGTGTGGCACATATGTATTTGGTAACATAGATATGTACTAAAATACACTTGTGTTTACACTGGGTACATTCAAAAGCCATAAATCACACAAAAAATTATTGACATTATTTTCATGAATCGCAAAGGTCACTGAAAGGTCTCCTAACCAAATGACTAACCTTCATTAATAGATTCTGGATGAATATCAGAATCTGTGAATAAAAATGCCTCCATATCTTCACGTTTACAACGAGACACCTTAGGATCTATATCATCTAAACTTGAAATGATTGAAGCTTTCGAATTAGTATTATGTTTCTGTTTGGCCTCAGCTTGTGCACCAATTCGTGCAATATGTTTGGATGGAGGAGGGCATTTTTTAGGCTGTTTTTGACGTGTTGAAGAGATTCTCTGAGACTGACTAGTTGGTTTATCGACTAGATGTGATGAATGAAAATTACGTATGCTCATTGATGATAATGGAGATGATGTCTCCTTGACTAGGATGGAATTTTGAGAAGTGTTGGATATACTCAGCCCACATGACTGTGATGATGTGTTGAGTGAAGTTAAGATAGACAGAGCATCTTCAACTGTACCAGGTTTCACATCATCCCTGAAAAAAGACAGAAAGAAAAACCACCAGTATGTTGAATCACCTTATAAAATATCCAAGCTTGTGAACAATTCCACACCAGTGGTGATTTGCTACTATGCCCTCAAATGCCCTGGTATGGCCGAGAGTAGGGAGAGTCCGCTCTCCATCTCGAAATACTCTCACATGGCCACGTATATATAGCCTCTGTCAGGGAAGTCCTACTCACTGCCTTCTCGCAACACGGGTGTTGTTTACGAAAATGAGAGGACAACAAGCAAATGTCCGGCGCTTTAACCGGATCCCAACCCAATGGTGCACATGGACTCCAGTATCCTGAAGAAACAAATGGCGTATGAACCAATCGTTGGTCACCGGCTGGCTACCATGGGACTGCATCTCCTTACGATGCTCCAATGCCTTGTGGATCAGACCTTTGAATCAAAGGCTCGGGTTGTGGCCCCCTAAGAAAACCACCCGCTTCGCTCTTGGCACCCGTATTTGAATTCAATCTACTTCATATTACGATGAAGATATAACAATTGTTGAGCGTGCATGTGAATAACAATAAGTGAGACATATTGTCTTCCAGAAATTGTCAACTGAGAGAAAAATCACTAAGATATGTCATAATTGTTCACTTATTATTCCTGCTTTTGTTCTCATCAATTCCGGTGTCGAGAACATATGCATTATGCACCATTGATTATCACCATCATCTATTAGGATACTCAAATTTGGTTGGTGTATGAAATAGGCTAGAAGTAAGCTAGGGAAGATCAAATCAAAACATAGCCTTATTCGTAAGTGTAAACTATCTGGTTGTGGCCCATGTAATGATTCTGGTTAGGAGAAATTAGGTAATATGTTCTAAAGTCTGTCACAATGATACAAATATGATTAATACTTTGCTTTCTTTTAGACTTGTCCTATGAATTCATTCTGTCATTTTTGAACCATTTTAACTGTATTTAACTATTTTTCACTATCACTGGTCAGTCAGTCAGTCAGCTGCAACGTAGGACCAGGCACGTATATGCATCGGTCCAAGTTTCCATACCGCATTAGCACAACAAGATGAACACTGAATTCATAGAAGTAGTTGATTCAATTATAGTAATATAGAAAAGAAAGATTGTGTATAAGGATATAATACAGGAATAAAGAATTAGTTCGTAGAAAGATATGAAGCGATTTTAATCTCTTAGTTTAAAGTAAGACAGAGTGTATACATCGACGCCATTGTGATCGATTCTGAGCCATGTCACCAAGAATCTCCAACCATTGGTTACGATAGTCACGCGGACCCCAATCAGGTAGTCTGCATCAACCAACATGGCTCAAACCAGAAGTTAGTGACTTCAAGCACTGATGCCACGTTTTGGTTTGGCCGAAGGCGAAGTCGTACTGACAACTGTACAAAGGTGTGATGGCAGTAAGGTGTTTCCTTCAGACAACCAGAATAACAACGATGCTGCCTTTCCACAAGGAGGGGAAGCGTTAGAAAAGGTCGACCCAAAAAATGCACACCACGCCTTATCCCATGGATTTCCGTTTCCGGCGGTAAGGTCTCAACAAATACGGAGCTAACACAAAAACTACTCATAAAAAGGTCGTATGTGACCGACCTCAAGCAGTCGGCCCTCAGGCACTGCGGTCACACTCTCAGGTCACTATGACCACCTTTAATCCGAATTCCTTTCCAGGTACCTCCAGAAGAACCCTTCCAAGGTGTGGGCAACTGGGAAGTGATAACCGCCCTCATACCTCTAACAGTACTCAAGACCACTGTATTCACTATCAATGGTGCCACTATTATTTCCAGTTTTTAACTATTCATTATGTTAATTGTATCTTCTTATGCTAATGTAGTATTGTGGTGTGTGCTACTTATGTAGACATAAGTAGTATATGATGTTAGCCGTAAACAGAATGTTTGGCAGCAAAGAGACAAGAGGATCAAACAGTCAAGAATGCGAACACAATGTAATTTGTATGAAAATGCAAAAACAATGAAATCTGAGTCATTTTGAGACAACTGATGGACATTTTGCAAATTAAGCATTTACTATATGATGGTTAGATTTTAATAACAAGCCCTGTAATTTGTTATCAAATACATTCGAATGTCCCCATCCCTGTTCGTTTTCACTACATTATGTTAGCTTGAACTGATGTACCCCTGTATAAACCAGATCTTAAATCGATTATGACTGACAGATTAACTAATATTCTTGCCATTATTAGGTATTATTATTATCGTTCTTATTCTGAACTGATTTACATTATGAGAAAGCAATCGATTGTCAAAACGAAAATATTATTGAATGAAAACTTTTTCTCAATATTGGATATATTTCATTCAACTGTCTCAATAGGAACGATTGAAGATAAAAGGGTTAGTAGTTATATCCCATAAAACAATATATTATCAGTCTGAAACAACAAGGAACCTGGTATATATGTGTATACTTTATTCAGTTCATTTGCCAAATAGTATAAACGTTAGAATAACTGACTTTGGGCTACAATTTAAGCATGACGGCTAATGATACTACTCAGTTACTCAAAACAAAGTAGACAGAATGAAATTTGAACCTGTAATTTTGTGGCTGAAAGTTAGATATCTCAACCATTGGCTTACCTGCTCTTACATATGCATCAGTTTAAGTTGTTACACCACATTAGCATAACAAGATGAAATTATCAGAATGAATCCTGGAACAGTAGTAGTAGTAGTAGTAGTAGTAGTAGTAGTAGTAGTAGTAGTAGTAGTCGTAGTAGTAGTATCGGTGATAGTAAAAGAAGATTAGGGATGAAAATGATTTGATTTAGAAATTGTTCACGAAATAAAATGCATGACATAGTTTTGAAACTCAGGATCTACGGACGGTTACAATATGTTATCATGAAATTCCAACAGTATATTATGAGTAATATTACTTCAGGTAAACAAAATTGACTAACAAGAAAACAACTTACTTTTTTCCATATCCACAGAAACTTTCAATATCTTCCAAATCAGTGTCAGATTCATCTTCACCATCATCGCCGATGCCAACTTCAACAAATCCATTTGAACTGAAACCAGGAATCAATGCACCAACAGTTGAATTTGAACGATTTTTATTGATAAATTCCGAATTAGCCACTGCCACTTCCAATTCACGTTCTTCATCTGAATTCTTTTGATAAGCAGATACACCAGTTGAACGTAAAATTTCTTGAGTGTATGGATCTCGATCAGAATGATTTGATTTCTTAGTTTCAACAATACGCATACAATCAGCTTGCATTAAATTACGCATCTGATCTTCAACAGATTGAATATCGTTTGTAGATGACGATGATGCTTCAACTTTGTCTTTGCCCAATACGATTTCATCTTTAAGGATATAAAAGAAACTTAGTCCCAAGACTACAGATCATACAAAGAATGGAAACTCTAAAATTATCAAGTGCTTTAAGAAACTTCACAGTTTCATTGATAGGAATAAAAATTCTCCCACTTGAAATCTGTATGGCTATGAAACATGGGTTTGAAAGACATGAGTAAGCTACTAACTTTTGACCGTAGATGCCCTCGAAGTATTGATTGAGTTTCGTGGAATGACCAAATGAGCAATGTTGAGGTAAAGCATAGCAGGTACCTGATAAAGGTGGTACAGTGGTTGACGAAGTTGTAAAATCATCAACCAAGATAGCTAGAACGTGTATTACATATTGTTACCATTGACAAACTGTAAGATTTGATGAATATTGAAAAAAGAAACTACTACTTACAGAAATCCATTGATAAATGTAAAAAAAACTAAAGACAAAAAGTCAGATGTAGCTACAGTGAGTAAAAAACGAATGTCTAGCCATCTGAACTTCAAAAGGGATAACGTCGCAAGCATAATCGACAGGATGCTTTACTTTTCACTGGCCAAAATCTACTCTACATCCAAACTATTAACCCTGGATAAGACGTGTTCAATAATTCAACAACAGGCTGGCAAGTACCCCTTTCATGTTACCAACAACTTTGTCTGTAAATGTACATGTATCTGTTAAAGTAGCCATATTAGCTGAACATAAAGGAGAGCACGTGCCAGGTTTTTTAAACATATTCCAAAAAGGCTCTGAACAAGAAAAAGAAATATTTTACATAATGCAACTACTAAAGATCCCTTAGACATAGAGTATCAGGTCGATACACCGAAGTCTTCTATGGTAATTTATAAGCAGTCAAGATCCAGTCATTTGAATTTCCCTAAACCCACTATTATCAGACGTCAGAAACCTGACTTATGTTAAGGAGACGGTTGTTCACTAATACGGTGACACAAAAATTTCTTCATCAGTCAACCAACTACAACGTAGGATCAGGCACATATATGCATCGGTACAAGTTGCCATACCTCATTAGCGCAGCAAGGTGGACACCGGATTCATAGAAATAGTAAATTCAATGATGGTAATAGATAAAAGAAAGATTGCATATAAGGATATAGTACATAAAGAAAGAATTAGTTCGTAGAAAGAAAGACGTAAAACAATCTTAATTTCACGGTTTAAGGAATGACAAAGAGTGTATACACCTACACCACTGTGATTGATTCTTAGCCGTCAACCAGAGCCTGCAAGCTTTGTCTAAGATAGTCACAAGGACCCCGACCAAGTAGTCTGCATCTATCAATATGGTTCAAACTAGAAGTTAGTGACTTCAAGGACTGATGCCACGTTTTGGTTTGGCCGCCCTTGACTTTCAACCATTCCCAACACTTGTCAGCATTGCGCGTAGTGGTAATCAGTGTTCAGGCATACGTACCACGTGGCCCAACCATCTCAGTCGATGAAGATTCACAACCTCATCAACTGATTTACCATCGTCATTCCCTAATACCCTGTGTCTAACCTCACTATTACTTACCCAGTGATCACAGTAGATGCGAGCGATGTTTCTAAAACATTTGTAATCAAATACTAGCAACTTTTGAGTATCTTCTACTCTTAATGACCACGTTTCGCAGCCTTAAAGTAAAACATAACGAACTGTCACACAATATACTTATCCTTTGATTGATAGACAGATATCTTGCCTTTGTCATAGGTGACGTAAGTAGGCAAAAATGAAACAAGCTTTCTAGATCTTCGAGATGAACAATTTTATTTGATCGAAATGAACTTTGTTTATTCTTACTTATTATTATTATTACTGTTCTTCATTACGTAACTACTTGTGTGTTTGTTTGTTTGTTTATTTTGCTATTAACAGTGTAGAATGGTTTTTTTTTGTTCACATAGATACAGATAAATAATATCTGAGCTAAAAATCTATTCCACCACCTTACGATACTTTATTTAATCTATTTAATAATTGATTTATGTATACTCTATTAATAATGTAATCATAAAGGTTTTCATATTAACTCATTTGTATCATTCATTTTAATCAATTTTATAATTATGATTTTCTTCTTAAATCATCTAAGTTGCAAGTAGCTGATGAAAATTAAACAAAAATGTTATTCTACTCAAATGTTAGTTCTTACTTTCTTTGAACCAATCGTTGATCACTGGTTACCATAGGACTACATCTCCTTACGATGCTCCACTGACTTGTGGGTTAGACCTTAAGATCAAAGGCTCGGGGTGTGGCCCTCTAAGAAAACCACCTGGTTTGGTCTGAGCACCCGAGCAGTATAACAGCCCACACACAAACAAAATGAAAATTGGTGTGGTGCATATATATTTGATGCCTTCTTGCACACTTATGCAGGTCGGACAACAGATAGGACTGGCTATGTCTTTGGAAAGTCTTAATATTGATGTGTGTTGTCTATCCGAGACCCGTATTCAAGACTCTGGTGAAGTACTACAAGTTCGCTCTCCATCTGTCACTTCAAAAAGCTTGTTTTATGTGCGTTTATCCGGGGACCCTGTGGCATCTTCGTCTGGTCTTGCTGGCGTTGGTGTCGCACTAAGCGCAAGAGCTGAGGCAGCACTAGTCGACTGGATCCCCATTAACAGTCGGTTATGTGCTGTTAGATTAGAAAGTACCATCAAAGTGAGAAGAAATCGGCGTGAGAAACGATGTCTTTTCGTCATCTCCGCCTATGCCCCGACAGATTGCAGCCCGGATGCAATCAAGGACGAGTTCTACCATCAGCTAACTGTTCTTCTCCAGAAAGTGCGTTCGACAGATATTGTAGTACTAGCCGGAGACTTGAATGCTCAGGTCGGGCGTATAGGCACAGAAGAGAGTCGTTTAGGTGGCCGATGGGGACTCGTTGGTCGCAGGACAGATAACGGGGAACGTCTACTGCAACTATGCACAGACCACAACCTGTTTCTGGCTAGCACTAACTTTCGGCACAGTCATCGCCGATGTGCCACCTGGCGTCCTCCTTCTGCATCTCAAGCCTGGACTCAGATTGATCACATCGCGATCAGCTACCGCTGGCGCGGTTGTGTACAAGACTGCCGCTCCTTTTGGAGTACCTATCTGGAATCTGATCATGCTCTGGTTTGCGCCAATCTTACCTTACTTTTCAGTGGACAACGAAGTGACCGCCACCAAAGGATTGATGTTAGCAAGCTGGCTGCAACTTCTGTTGCTAGTAAGTACCGAGCCGAGCTAGCTTCTAGACTAGCCACTATTCCACCGAAAAGTATAGATGAGCATTGGTTGCAATTGCATGACGCCATGAAAATGGCGGGTCAAGTCTGTTGTGGGTTTGCGAAACGTCCCGCTTACAAGCACTGGGTTTCTTCTGGTTCCTTACAACTGATTGAAGCCCGTCGGTCTACTCCGGGTGACCGTGAGTTTGACCACAGACGAAGGATGTTACGTAATGAAATCGGGCAAAGCTTGCGTAAGGACCGAGAAGCCTGGTGGTCGGAGCGTGACAGTGAGTTGGAAGCAGCAGCTGCATCTGGTAATTACCGGAAGCTCTTCCAACTCATCCGAGCCACTGGCAGCAAGAAGTTTGGTGTGAGCGAAACAATCTGCGAGGATGACGGAACGCCAATCACTAACATCCATCGACGTCTTGGACGATGGGCAGAATTTTTTGAAGGGCAGTTCAACTGGCCTGCTGCTCCGGCAAGATCGGTCAGACTGTCCTGCCCTCCATGGCCGGTGACGACTGATCCACCAAATGAGGCGGAAGTCCGCAAGGAACTCCAACTCTTCAAACGTTACAAATCACCGGGCCCAGACGACTTACCTCCGGCTCTTTTTAAAGATGGTGGTGACTTTTTAACTAAGGGACTGACGACGTTGTTTACAAAGATCTGGGAACTAGAGAGTGTACCAACGTCATGGAATGAGTCGATAGTTGTCCCTATCTTTAAAAAGGGTTCACGTTGTTCCTGTAACAACTATCGGGGGATAAGTCTACTTTCGATTGCGTCCAAGCTATTGGCTTCCGTCATACTTCGTAGGTTGTTCAGGACCCGAGAAGGATTGACTCGCGAGGAGCAGGCTGGGTTTCGTTCTGGTCGAGGATGTATTGATCATATCTTCACCCTCCGCCAAGTGTTAGAACACCGCCATACTTATCAAAGGCCAACAATCGTAGTGTTTCTTGATATCAGGGCTGCCTTCGATTCGTTGGACAGAACTGTTCTCTGGGATTGTCTATTGAAGAAGGGTGTGCCTGAGAAGTTTATTAACATCCTAAAAGCCCTATACACAAACACCTCAGGCAGAGTGAGGGCATACAACCACCTTTCTCAATTGTTCTATTCGAGCAGTGGGGTTAGGCAGGGTTGCCCAATCTCACCACTCCTCTTCAACTTTGCCATCGATGACATTCTGGAAACAGCTCTGACGGATGTAAGTAATGGTGGTGTGGATCTGTTGCCTGGAGAAAGACTTCTCGACCTTGAGTATGCGGATGATATTGTCTTACTGTGCGAGAATGCCCAAGCTATGCAATCCGCACTTAATCAGTTGGCAATCAATGTCCGTAGGTATGGTATGTGCTTTGCACCCTCGAAGTGCAAAGTACTTCTACAAGACTGGCAGGATTCTAATCCTGTACTCACTCTGGATGGTGAGCAGATTGAAGTAGTCGAGAAGTTCGTGTATCTAGGTAGCTGCATAAGTGCTGGTGGTGGTGTGAGTGATGAGATCAATGCTCGTATAGTGAAAGCCAGAGCGGCTTATGCCAATCTGGGCCATCTTTGGCGCCTTCGTGATGTTAGTCTGGCTGTAAAAGGTCGGATCTACAACGCGACGGTGAGAGCAGTTTTGCTCTATGCTTGTGAAACCTGGCCTCTCCGAGTTGAGGATGTTAGACGACTCTCTGTGTTCGATCATCGTTGTCTCCGAAGGATTGCTGGCATCCAGTGGCAACACCATGTCAGTAATGCAGAGGTTCGGCATAGAGTGTTCGGTCACAGAGACGATAATGAAATTGGTGTCACCATCTTGAAACACCGACTTCGGTGGCTTGGACATGTTCTACGAATGTCGTCCCAGAGAATTCCACGTCGTGCATTATTTGCCGACTCTGGGACTGGTTGGAAAAAGCAGAGAGGTGGTCAGTATATGACATGGTGTCGTGGTATGAAAGAAAGCTGCAAAGGGCTAGCTTCTGTTGGTCCTTCACGACTCCCTGGTTGGGGTCCGAGAGACGGTGTAACGCAGTGGCTAGAGACGTTATCAGATATGGCTAAGAATAGAAGCCAGTGGCGATCGTGCTGTAACCTCTTACTTTCTTCATAAAAAGTGTTTATATCTTCCTTAACTGAAAGATCTCTTCTGATTGTACCTTTCCGTTTCCCCCACCATTGTTCTCTCTCTCTCTTTTTTTTTATAATTCCCCACGTTCATTACTTTTTTTTTCTCTTTTCTCCTTCTCTTCAAATTATCATTGTTTTGTGTGGCGCATATATATTTGGTGCCCCTCTGTACCAATATTTATGTGTTCAAATAAATAATAAATAAATAAATAACCAATATTTATGTGTTCAAATAATAATAATAGTGATAAAAATAGAATGTGTGAATTCTCTTATTTTGATCATTCCTAGTAGAATCAGTAAAACAGAATGATAAATAGTTAAGGAAGGTTTAGATACTAAGCATAGTTATTCTACAGCAAACATATCCTGAAGGAACAAGTGGCGTAAGAACCTGTAGCAGCAATAAAATCCCCAAAATAAATAGCTCTTTAAGTTTTCGACATTGGATGCTGACCACAGTTTTAGTGGACTCTTCTAGCTGAAGGCGCTCGGTCAAGCATCTGCACCAGATCACCTGTGGGAACGCCGTGCTCAACATCTACCGCAATCGCTAGCCAGATTAGTTCAAACGATCCTCGATATATTGATAGCTTATCAAATATATCTTCGATCTCCTCGCTTCTGTCTTTTGATTCCACTTGGTGGGTACGCTTCATATTAGAAGGTGTTACTGGTTAAAGCGTTGTCAAACTCCGAATACCTGTGGCATCTTCATTGGTGAGCCCGACGTGATCTGGTACATCAAATTGCAAACTGTGAGTCTGTTCCTTTTTGGGATTTTATACATCATTGTCTTATTTTAATTTTTTTTAACATTGTGATATTTTTCCCCCGTGTTTTTGGGTTTATATATATATTTCCCACTCGTTCACTTTTCGTACTTGATATATTACTATGACTGAACAGACCCCTAAAGTATTTAAGTTAAAGACTGTGTCCACACCCTCTTTCCAACTTATGCCTTTCTGGCCAGACAACATCGAAGCCTGGTTTTGTTACGCAGAAGCCGACTTCTTCGAGCACGGTGTGAACGATGCGCGTACACAATTCCTCGCAGTAGTCAAGACACTACCGCGCGAATTTAACAGGTACGTAAACCTAGTATGTTTACTAGTGATGTTTCTGACCCATACGGAACCCTCAAACATGCCATCCTCAAACGCAGAGATCTAACCGATCGGCGAAGGTTAGACCAACTCCTCAACAACATCGACCTGCAACACGGCTCTGCCACAGACATGTTGCAAAGAATGCGAGAAGTTATTGGCCAAATAACCTTCGATGATGGCCTATTCAAACAGCTTTTCTTATCAAAACTGCCTCGACAGGTGCAAGCTGTGCTGGTATCGTTTCAAAACAACGCCGTAGACGAGCTGGCTGCATCTGCCGACCGCATTCTCGAAATCACTAGATCTTCTAACGCCGAGGTTTTTTCAGTCAAAGAAAAGCCTCAAACGACCCAGAATGACATAACACAGTTATGTCATACACTTACGCGTTATCTCAAACTCCGTAACGACCGTAAACGATCACTTACCCCGCGGAGAAGCACATCACGTAGGCGATCTGTATCTAGAACTCGAGAGACGGATAATCCTCCCAGCGAATTCCAACTTTAACTTCTGCCCCAGTATCGACGAGGTAGCGAACTGTCGTTATCACATCAGTGACTTAAAGAGCTATTTATTTTGGGGATTTATTTACCGCTACAAACCAACTGTTGGTTACCAGTGTTTATGAGGATTAACTTACATGAAGAAGATTAAATAATTGTCTAAAATAATTCCCTAACATTTATAACAATTTAAACACATAAATCTTGGTGTAAGATGGCACCAAAATAAGTACGCACCACGCGATAATTAAATTAGATTGTAAAACGATAAAAGAAAGGCGAGTACAGTAAATGCTTTTTTTAAACTAAATAAATGGATAAAAATAAGTGAATTAGACTAATAAGAATGATGGGAAAATCAGTTCAGTTATGAAAAATACAACCAGAAATGCTTTCATTGAAAGAAATTACTCTCACTTATATGAAGAAAGTGAAGGAAAATCACACCACAACCACCACTGATAACATTTCAAATCACTAAATTGCACTATATCTAAAATCCCGGTAGCGGAGTCGTGAATAATAGGCAGATGTTAGTTCTTTACAGCTTTCTTTTATACCACAACACCTTCATACGCTGACAACCTATGATAATTAGAAGTACTAACTAGGAATTCCCGAAATAGTGCAGTTTACAGTAAGTAGGACTAGATGAGCACAAATGAACGTATTATATTTGGAATTCGTAATCAGCGGGCCATTGAGTACGATGAAATCATCAGTTCGTACAAATACAACACCACCTGTCCGCTTTTCCAACTATTCAGTGTCGGTAAGTAATGTACTATGTGCGACACACTGGGACGACATTCGTAGTACGTATCAAAGCCACCAAGGCCGATTTTTCAAGGCAGTGACAATGTCAAGATGTTTATCAAAGAAAACACTTAATCGCTCATGATGCATGCATAAACAACTATTACAAGTATGAGATAACTTTGTGAAGAGTTAATCTTCCTAACAACTATTTGAACGATTCATAAGATATTAGCAACCAGTTGTGAATAGTTCTGACGAGTAATACTTCAAAATAAAGGAAGCCATAAACATTTCTAAATCATCTTATTTCTAGTGTCTCCCTATTAATATTCACATGCGACTATTGTTAGAGTTCCATCAGTTAACCAATAAACCACAATCGACGTAGGACCTAGTCTGAATGTGGCACTATTTCTTATTTATTTTAACACATAGATATTGGTACAAGGAGGCATCAATAACACATGCACCACACAAATCTCATTTGATATGTGTGAAGGTTGTGATACTGCACGGGTGCCCAAACCGAACCAGGTGGTTTTCTTAGGGGGCCACATCCAGAGCTTTTGACTTAAAGGTCTGATCCATAAGGCAGTGGGGCATCGTAAGGAGATGCAGTCCCATGGTAGCCGGTGACCAACGATTAGTTCGTACGCCATTTGTTCCTTCAGGATACTGGAGCCCATGTGCACAACTGGTTTAAGACGATAGTTTTTCAACTCCCTTAGGTGGACTCTCCGTGTCCACCTACCCGGTTAAAGCGCCGGACATTCGCTTGCCGTCCTCTCAATTTCGTAAACAATACACTCGCCGTGAGAAGGCAGTGAGTAGGACTTCCCTGTTAGTAGTTGTATACATGTGGCCATGTGAGAGCATTTGGAGAGAGCGGACTCTCCCCACTCTCGGCCGTACCAGGGCATTTGGGGGTACTATTTCGAATTAGCACATATCACATCGCATCAGCACAATCAGTTAATCATGTGAAAGATAGAACCTGGCATGTCAGTACAGATAAAAGTAACAAAATAGAAGCAAAGCAAAGGCAGACGAGAGATTGAAAAATTGGAAGTTAATTATAACACTAAGCTGGAGATTTGAAAGATAATGAATAAATGAAAATTTTCCACTTCTATCAGTTTCGTGATATGACATCTGTGAATTTCATTTAACACAAATTATTTTGAAAAGGGACAAATTTGTACTGTTTTAATACACAAACTATACTGACTCGCATCTATATAAATGATGATGACGATGTACATACACGAACACAAAAAAACAACTTACCATATTTTGATATAATCTCAGTAGCAGCATACTTTGATTTTTCAGGAGGCTGTAAAGTAATACAAAACAATGTCAATACAAATAATTTATACCATAGACAAGTTACACATATTGTTATGATATTACAATACTAGCCAACAAAATATGAAATGATAGCAGTGAGGATTATTAATTAAAGAATTATTAGTTTAACACTGAGATGGATACTATGTGAACACCTACACAGGTAAGACTAACATGTAGCATATACTACCAAAGTACTAGCCACTTAAAAGTACGATTCGCTGTATTGGCTAATATAAGAATATGTTGTAAAAAGGCTAAAGGTGGTTAGAATAAAGCACCACCGAGAGATGAAGCTAGGCATTAACTCCAAGATATTAGTAAAATTCGCTGCGAACCATGATGCCTAACAGAATTCTGTGTTTACACCCCGAAAAATCAAATATTGGTCAAGCGGAAATGATGTAGCAAACGACCACTTTATTTTAACCATGTTGAATTCGACACTACTATATGCCCTCGCACGGTTGAGGGTGTAGAGGGTCAGCTTTACCTCTCCAAATGCTCTCACATGGCCATACGTATACGAAACTAAAAGGACAAAAAGCTAATGTCCAGCGCTTTAACAGGGTTGGTAGATACGGAGGATTTCCCTAGAGGAGTTGGAAAGCCCTGATACTAAACCATTGGTGCATATGAGCTTCAGAACCATAAAAGACTAAATAGTGTATAAACCGATTGTTGGTCACCAACTACATTGGGACTGCATCTGACGTTGCTTCACTTCCTTATGGATTAGACCTCTTACTGAAAAGCTTGAGGAGTGGCTTCAGGAAAATCAACTGGATCGGTTTTGGGCACCCGGGCAGTATCCTAGACGACACAAATCCAATGATTTGTGACGCATACATATTTTATTACTCCTTTGTACCAACGTATCTAAATAAGTAAATAAAATATCTTTTCCTTTAGGAAACCATATTTTAAACACTTTTAGATCATATTAAACTCTAATGAGACTATAATATCAATAGATATAGGCCTATTCAGTGGTTGACAAAGTTCTTACTATAAACCTGCATACACACAAAAATGTCTGGCTGAAACCCACATCTGTAAGTTCGTCTACAGGAATTTTGTAACTCACAAGGTATGCTGACAGTAACTCCGCTATTTCAGAATGTGATTCAGACGAACCATGAGAAACATTTATTATGCCACAAATATATTCACCAACAACCTCAGCATCAATATCCTTTGACAAATCTGTGAGGAAGGTAGCAACCCAATCAAATTGTAATTCATTTGAAGACATACAGCATGCGGATAGGTTGCTCGTAACAGTGGTAAATACCAATATTTAAAAGTTAGAAGTTCGGAGGACAGAGTATTACGGTCTAAAAAAATAAGAAACAGAATAGTGCAGATCAATGGTTAGTTGATATACTAGATCGTAGCAGGCTATTAAGGTAGTGTATTTATTTCGAGTGCCTGACTTCTACTGAAGGCGACAAACAACTGAAAGGAGCTGCACAGTGCACGAGATATGAGGTAAAACAAATGACAACAAGAACTCATCCTTTTGAACATCAAATGTGGATGACCAGTTACTTTCAGGTCACGGATAGAAGCTTCAATAAGTAATAGAGGAGAAATGTCATGGTTTTGGAAACAAGCCCCAAACTAATCTGACGACACGTACAAATCCCTATCTATGGAGAAGTATGCTAAATGGGCCATCTACTGATAGTACCTGGAAAAACACAAAATATGTATCCACTACTCCGCAAGCAGTAAACACGAATGCGTTGAATAACAGGTAAAATATTCTGTTATTTGAAGGATGTTTTTCAAATAATAATCATCATATCTCTCAAATGCACGTGCCTATTACCGTGAAAACGTCACATAAGGAGTGAGACAATATTTTACTGAAATTCTGAGTAAATCATATAACCGAGTACCCGTAAGTACGAATTTACACCTGATCGGAGAACTATTATTGGTTGAGAGAACGCGGGAAATTTACGTTTGAATCGGCTGTGTAGAAACACGTGTTATTGAGTTTATTTGGAAACTGGGTAGATCCAAAACAACAGTACACAAATCACGGTCAGTGAATATCTGGGGGCGAGGAAAAGAACACAATGTGCTAGCACAATGTATATATTTTCTCAAGATAGGGTTTGTGGGAATTGTAGCGTCGTAACAATTGAACATATTTCAAAAATCGAGTAACGCGGTTCGATTACAAAAAGGAAAGTTTATATACAAAATAGTTCCATTCATCATTTTGCAAGTTCAGTTTACCCAGGATTTGTTCCTCTAGCAGTACGTTAACCCTTTGTTTCCCTTCAATAAGAAAAGAGGTTCATATTAATATCGTTTTTGTTTACTGTTACACTACCACTTCACTCCCTGAGACACTGTCGTAAATGCTTAGTGGTGGACATGTGAATACCGTACCTCTTTCTGGTAGTACTTCCTAATAGCTGGTGGCGGGCGAGGGTTAAAACAGTAGGTATCTAAATGCACCGTCTTTCAGTTTGACTTCAACTGGTTATGGTGTATTGTTATAACGTCACCTTGAGGTCGCTGAAGGTTATGTAGGACAAAAGCAGTGCGAGATTGAGAAAATGCTCTTTCGTAGGGACCTTGAAAAGAATGGTGGAACTTGCTGCATGTTACTGGTGGAGCCACATGGAGGTGTAGCCAAACACGATCTCCAGGTTTATACGCTGACCCGTTTACTTGTCAGTCGTATGTGTACCTCTCGTGTTTGTTAACATTCTCTAGACGGGTTTTCACTAAGCGATACGCGTCGGGGAGATGGTTAAAAGATTACAAATCTATGGTGCGTGTTCCTGAGACTCACGCGGTAACAACGGTATATGTATCTCAACAGGAAGATATAATTTGTGCTCAGAAAGTAATATAGCAGGTGAGAATCCTGTGAACCCATGCACCGATGCACTATAGGCTAAGAGACATCGAGGTATTTCATCATCCCGATATTAAGCTGACGACATACTAATGAACGGTTGTAGAAGGTCCTCATTTATCTTGTTTGTTCTTTCCACCAAGCCATTAAATTCCGGGTGGTAAGTGACAGTACGAGTTATCTATATTCCAATATCTGGCATACCTGAGCAATGGAACGACCTTGTAAAGCTACACCTTGGTCAGAATAGTGAGACTGGAGAGTCATAACGAGAAACCCAATGATCAAGGACAGCTCATGAAACTGTCAGGACGTCCTGTCGAGGAATCGAAAAGGCTGCATAACGTTTGCTAAAACAGTCTACCATCACCAGTTTGTAGTGGTTTCCATCCTTCGTTGTTGAAAGCGGCATCATAATATCAATGCCAACTCGCTGATGTAGTCCTTCTGTCATCATTGGGGTTAACGGTGCACAGGGTATTTGTTAGGAAGCTTTATGGCGTGACACACTATGATTTTTGCAAAATTCTGTTTTATCTTTGTGGATGGATGGTCACCTAAATCTGTGGTGAATGGCGTGTTCGGTCTTTCGTTTTCCGAGTAGCCAGGGGATCCCAATGCTCCTGATCCATACTATCCAGAACTTTTACGCGTGATACTACAAACAGAGGGTGTTTGAACCCACTAAGATACCGCTATACAAACTCAAATGGTGCGTTCCTAAGGGATGATCTTTTAGTTTTTCCATGAATGGCCTATTATTCTTATGTGGTTGTCGTTCGTAAATGAGTTGCTGATTGGAGTCCGCCGCTCTCAAGAACGATCAATCGATATCAGGGGCTGTGCTAATGATAGCAATAATGGTAGCAGAAGAATGAGGTATACGGGGTAGAGAATCAGCATTTATATGTCGGCCTCCATGTCGTTAACCACACATAAAACCGAACTCTTTCAAACTCTCCTGCCATTGCGCCACATGACCTTCTAGCACGTGAGACAAACGAAGACACTGAGGTGCACTATGGTCTATGTCTACATGAAAAGGGTGTCCCGGGATATGGCAAAGAAAAAGTTGCAAAATTTTTACCAGGGCGAGGATTTCTCAGCATATTGTGGGATACCTCGTTTCCCTCTTGTCTAACCACCAACAAGTATACACCATGACTAGCTCATGTCCACCTTATACTAATCGGTACAGGAATTCCCTGATAGCTGACTAGCTTAAGTTCATGTTAAATATAAACTGGCACCTATTAGGCGAAGTGTACGGAGAAGCTAGTATGTGTCAGTCTGTAATACATGACTTCAAGGTTTTAAATGCCTGTCGACACTCTATGGTCAGCAAAAACTGTCGTCCTTTATACGTCAGGTGGTATAAAGGTGCTGTGGAAGATGAGAAACCGCCTAGAAAACGTATATAGTTGGAAATGAGTCCTATAAAGCTACGGACATCTTCGACAGTCTTCGTCTGTTTCCAGCCAATGGTGGTGTTCAATCTTCCTCTCTGTTCCTAATTCTTTTGCCGCAATCCGGCGTCCCAAGAAGAGCATCTTTTTCTGCCAAAGTCGGCACTAAGATGATTTCGTTTTTCGAATCACGTTGCTTACAACTCCGGAGCGAAAAGCAGTAACATTTCGCTAAAGCATTCAGACGACGGTAATCTGAACATAACCGAACGAAGGAATCTTTCCATACTGAAAAGCTGAGCGAAGCCCAGGGTAATTACGGAACTACAAGAATTTTTTTTTCTAATATCTCATTAATCACTGAGCCCATCTGCGTCTGGTAATGCTCTGACACTGCAAGTCGGTTGACCTAGTGGCATGTGGTCACCTGTATTACTATAGTGCTATATAGTAGTCGTTCGGTTTTTGGAGACGTTCTCCCTGAAAACAGGGATAAATTGATGGACTAAAGAAACTGTTGATAGACGGGAGCTCTCCGTTATTTGTCCATTATTCTGTACTTAATGTAGAATTCTTAGCTTCCTTAGGTGAGACAGATCTGATTGCTTCTTCGGAGTGCAGTGCCTGCTCCAATTTGTGCATCCGCCATAGGCGTGTGCATAACAATTTTGTGTTATGAAATAAATTCAACCCCCGAGTATCAAGTCCCTAGTCAATGTAGAAAAGACCAGAAATTAATTTAAAAATGAATGTTTTTTTCACCGGTATGTCTAATCACACCCCAAGAGCATGCTCCCAACAAATCGCCTGTCGTTGTTTTTAGTGCTCAGAAATACAGTGTTTGTCATTTTTCAAAATTAAGTGTGTGTAAAACACCCCTTTCATGAAGCATGTTGACGCTCCGGTGTCAAGTCGGATAGTAATTTCGACTCCTCCGGAATCCGATAACGTACATTATCGGGCTCTCTAGGCGAACTGTTGTCAATTGAAACATCGCGTTTTACTATCCCGTCACTGGTTTGTACAGATCGTCCAGCCAGAGAATGATTAGATGCTGAGACAGTTGATAAGCTGTACAATTGATGCGATCCCACAGGTTCTCCGACGATTACTGCCGGGCGGTGTGCTCATGAGTTACTTACGTACGCTTATTAATCTCCTTGGAGGAGCGTAGGCCTCCCACCATCATTATCCATCCAACTCCGTCCTGAACAATCCATTCCAGTTGTTTCCAGTTGCTATTCATCCCTTTCATATCTATTTTCAGTTCTCGGTGCAGTGTATTACAAGTTAGCGCTCACCTCGTGATTTCCATCATCTTTTCCTAATTTCCTGCCAAATGGATGCTAGTAGGCTGTTGTTCATGGTATGTGGTCAAAAAACATTCCGTATGTTGCGTGGACAATAGTTTATAAATACTTATAACTTTTTGATGATGGTTATGGCAGTTCTCGAAGTTTCAGCGGTGTACAGTAGAATTGTCCTGATTGCTGTATTAAAGATTGTGACATTGATACTGGTTGACAGACAGTGATTTTGAGTTCCAAGTATTCATCGATTGTGGGAATGCAGCCATTGTTTTGTTTATCCTCAGCTTTACGTTCACGTCAGATCCTCCTAGGTCACCGATGATGCTCTCCAGGTACGTGGAAGAATCCACCTCTCCTAGGGTTTCTCCATCAAGTGTGATTGGGTTGGTGTTCTCCGTGTCGTATTTAAGGATGTTGCCCCTTCCCCTCTGTATGTTGAGGCCTACTGATGCAGAGGCTGCTGCTACACTACTTCTCTTCGTGTTCATTTGTTCATAGGTGTGGGATATAAGGGACACGTCACGTGCGGAGTCAAAATTATCTAGTTGCATGCAAGCTGTCCATTGTAGTCCGTACTTCTCCTCAGATGTGGAGGTCATCTCAATCCGGTCAATCACCAGACGAAACAGAAATGAGAGGAGTCAAAATTGTTCAACGG